GCTGAGTGGTGCGGTGGCTGGGCAGTGTTTTACTCACGTGGAATGGGCATCGACACGATGACGCAGGCGGTGAGGTGGTGGGGGGGCGGGAGGGGGGGGCAATGGGCGTAGCCATGTGGGGGGTTATGGGGGGGGTAATGGGGGTGGCCATGTGGAGGGTTAGGGGAGGGTAATGGGGGTGGCCATGTGGGGGGTTACGGGGGGGGGGGTAATGGGCGTGGCCATGTGGGGGATAACGGGGAGTAATGGGGGTGGCCATGTGGGGGTTAGGGGGGGTAATGGGGGTAGCCATGTGGGGGTTACGGGGGGGGTAATGGGGGTGGCCATGTGGGGGTTACGGGGGGGGTAATGGGGGTGGCCATGTGGGGGGTTACGGGGGGGGGGTAATGGAGGTGGCCATGTGGGGGTTACGGGGGGGGTAATGGGGGTGGCCATGTGGGGGGTTACGGGGGGAGGTAATGGGGGTGGCCATGTGGGGGGTTACGGGGGGGGTAATGGGGGTGGCCATGTGGGGGGTTACGGGGGGGGGGTACAAGGGGATAGGTGAATAGGGGGTGGTGGTGGTTGTTTGGGGGGTATGGGAGGGGGGGTCCGCAGCGGATGGTCGAGTCGTAGTTGGTGTTGGAGGCAGCACGCGCCGGTGATGTTTGTGACATTTCCGCAATGGATGAAGGAAAAAAGAAAACAAATAAAAACGACACAGACACAGGACACACACGCGACACACACACAACATAGACACACCACAAGACACACACACGCCAAACGACACACACAACACGACACATCATACGATATACACACCACAAGAAACAACACACGACACACACACACCAAACGACACACACAACAGGACACACACACAACACTCACACAACACACACGACACACACCACATGACACACACACCACACGACACACACACCACACACACACACCACACACACACACCACACCACACAACACACACACGACACACACACCACACACACACCACACACACACACGACACACACACCACACAACACACACACGACACACACCACACACACACAACACACACGACACACCACACGACACACACACCACACCACACACACCACACACACACAACACACCACACCACACAACACACACACGACACACACACCAACACAACACACACACGACACACACACACCACACACACACACAACACACACACGATACACACACCACACACACACAACACACACACGACACACACACACCACACACACACACGACACACACACGACACACACACAACACACACACGACACACACACACCACACACACGACACACACACGACGCACACACACACACCACACGACACACACCACACGACACACACACGACACACACACAACACACACACGACACACCACACCACACAACACACACACGACACACACACAACACACACACCACACGACACACACACCACACGACACGCGATTACCAAAGGAAATTAGTCAAACAACGTGGTCAGCGCGTTGGGGGATGATGCCAGCACAGCCATGCAATTGCCGTAAGTGGATTCATTAAATGGGTGAACAAACACGCTTCGTGCATTTTGTGTCTCTGGATATTTTTTTTTCAACGGGGGAGCGGTGGTGCAACGGTTAGCGCTACGAACCCGCCGCCCCCGAGTTCGATTCCCGTTCAGGGCCACCGACACCACGGTGACGAATATCTGGACCGGTTCTGGTCCTCCGCTTAAAGCTCAACTCAGCCTTAAATGAGTAACTGGTGCCTCGCCACTCGGGAGACAAAGGCGGCCGGGCGTGGTGCTGGCCACCCACCCCCTTCTCGTGTGCCGACTGGGCCTTCATAGGTGCCCCTGAATAGCACTTTCCCCAATGCTCTGTTAAGGCTATACGGGGGATCTTTGTGTGTGTAGGCTTAAGGGGAGCGGTGGTGCAGAGGATGGAGCACCACGCCACTGATGTGACCACGGCTCAAATCAGTGGCGAGTGACCACGTGAACCGCTCCGTGACCTTTAAACTTCGATGCACGCAGCATTATAATGGTGCCCCTCGTGTCGCTTGTTCAAAATAAAAAATAAGCTTTGGGGGGGGGGGAGAGACAAAGGCGGCCGGGCGTGGGTTCTCGAAAACATCAGCCGACCTCGTGCCCTCCGTTGCTGGCCTCCTGCCCTTTGGTGGTGGCTTGCCCCGGCAGTCTGCGTGGGCTACACGGGGGATCTTTGTCTGCGTTTTCAATTAAAATTGTCTACTTTTAGGAGCTTAAGCAGCCAGCGGAGATGATTGAAATCGATTGTTAACTGTTGAGGATCAATGTCGACACCTGCCCACGGAGAGTCATTTATAATCAGCGGGGGAATGAATGTGTGAATTATTAAGTTAGCGGCGTGCAGGCGCCTCGAGGAAGGGATTCATCCAGCAGTGGATTGATTGTGGCTCATTGTGAAGATGATAAAACTAAAATATTTTTTTATTTTTATTTTACCAGGTAAGGGTCCACTGAGCTAATATATTTATTTTCTAGAAGCGACCTGGGCTATCACAAATGATAGCTCGTCAAAGTGGCGGAACACGTTGACATCGATTGCAGTGAAATATTCTAAACGCGTGATGTTGATTCTAAATGTGGAAGGGAAAACCGGAGGATCCGGAGACAAATCCACGGAACCACGGGGAGACTGACACGCAAACTCCAAATATACAGCAGCAGGCGTCAGGGTCGGGAATGAAACCTACGACCTCCTGTACACCAGGCGAGGTAGCTAACATCTCGCCATGGCGCCCTATGATGATCATGACGGGCTGTGGAATGTCTGTTTAGTTATTGTTTCGGTAAAGTCACGTAGGTAACAATAAATAATAATAAAAATAATAGAAATAATAATAGAAATAAAATAATAAATCACGACGTTTCGGAGGCAACACAAGTCGTGATTTATTATTTAATTTTTATTATTATTTATATAATTTTTTATTGTTTATGTTTACCTACGTGACTTTACCGAAAAAACATAAGAGTATGAATCCTTGCAGTCACGAAAGTTTCAAATCTAGAATCTGTTTAGTTAGTGAGGACAGCTGCTTGCTTTGTGGCCGAAACGTCGTGAGAATGATTTAATTATGTTTTTATTTATTTTATTATTTCCATTCTACGTGACTTTACCGAAAGAACCAAGAAGATGAATCCCTGCAGTCACGAAAGCTTTAAATCGAAATTTAGTTTGTGTATGTTTTAGTGTTGGGTAAAGCGGTGGTGCCGAAGTGGTTATAGCAACGCTGCGCTTCGACGGCACTCACCAATGCGCACTGACCAGCGTGGTGAAGTATGGTCAAACAACCCTCACAATGGGGTCGGTGTGGCAGGACCTCATCCAGTAGTAGATTGACAAAGGATCTGTGTTTGAACATTTGCTAAAATAAATTAAATAACCGTTTGTGAGTTAAGAAAAATAAAATTACAATTCTGTGTGTCCTGATTTTTGGGCCAACCTGTATATCCTCCGTGCCCTGATCCAGGATATCAGCAATAATCGCTGCATCGTCTGACATAGCCATTGTGAACCTCATTAGAGAGATAGCGGGAGAGAGAGAGAGAGAGAGTGGCTGACCCAGGCGTCCCATTAACGTTCTCTGACTTGGCCATTGTGAACCTCATTATAGAAGTCGAATCAACCAGGTGGGCTGCCTGGCTCTGGGCGGTTTCACGGTGGCCGTGTCAGAGGCACTGGGCTGGCACGGCTCAGATTCCGGGGGTTTCTGAATTAGAATCAGAATCTGAATCTTTATGTAGGAGGAGGGAGGGAGGAGAGAGGGAGGGAGGAGGAGGAATTGGATGCAGCTCTTTTTTACAGATCAGCAATTTGCATCAACAAAAAAGTGCAAGAAAGGATAGAGAGTAGGATAAAGGTCAAGCAAGTGAATAAATAAATATGGATATTAGCAAAACAAGACAAGAATCCCCTACATAGCTGTAACATACTGTTGGGGCAAGTTCTGCGAGAGAACACCTACGAAGGCCGGCACGGCACACGAGGTGGCCAGCACCACGCCCGGCCGCCTTTGTCTCCCGAGTGGCGATGATGACACACCGCACCGGGTACTCATTTGAGGCCGAGTCGACCTAGGGGAGGCCCAGGATCGGTTCAAAAAATCGTGACCGCTGTTGTTGGTCCGTGCAGCGAGAATCGTAGCACACCGCCGCTCCCCATTGCAGACGCGAGCATCACCGAGTGTCGCACGAGGTTCGCGGCGAGTCGATGGGGTCAACCGGGGTGTTCGCTGAAATCGCAACTTTCGAAATGAACGACACCGATTGGACGGCCACCATCCCGGGGCTTGCCCCTGCGCGGGCAAGGCGCGCGCCCCGGGTTGATGCGCTGCCCGGAACCGTCAACGCTCCGATGGTTTCGAAGCCGCGTTCCTTATCTGCGGCGCGCCTTCCCCCTCTCCCCCCGGTCTCAACACCTCTCGTCACCCGGCCTAGGCGTCTCGTCTATCAACACTTCGGGGCGTTGATGGATCGGTGCAAAATCATTGCGCGCGTCGATGGACAAGCGCGCCGTGATGTGCGTCGATGGATCGTTGTGTTTGTTGCGCCCATCAATGAATCGATTAATCTTTACGCGCGCGTTTCGATGAATCGATGGGTCTTCATGCGCAGCTACGAATCGACGAGTCTTTACGCGCAAACAATGAATCGACGATGTTTTTACGCGCAGAAATCGATCGACGAGTAATTGTTTACGTCGACGGATGACTGCGTCATTGCGCGCGTCGATAAATCGATGCATCTGTACGCAACAGAAATCAATCGACGAGTCATTGTTTAAGTCGACGGGCGACTGCGTTCGCAATGCGCGCGCCGACGAACCGACGAGTCGTCGAACGAGCGACCATTCCGTCGCCGGGTCGTCGTTTTGAACGGTCGACGGCTCGCAGCGTCGTTGCGCGCGCCGCTGACTCTGACTCGACGGGGTGGTGGAGGCCACTCACTGTAGAGCAGCATGCTGGCGTTGCTGGCGCCCAGCACGTTGGCGGCGACGCACGTGTAGTTGCCGTACGTCTCCTCCGTGACGTTCACGAACGTGAGCAGCGAGTGGCGCCCGCTGCTCTGGATGTGCAGCCCGGCCAGGCCGTTCAGCAGCCTAGAGGGGAGGGGGGAGGAGGAGGACACGCGCGTGTGTGTGTGAGCGTGTGTGTGTGAGTGAGAGTTCGTGCGCGTGTACGTGTGAGTGTGTGAGCGTGTGTGTGTGAGTGAGAGTTCGTGCGCGTGTACGTGTGAGTGTGTGTGAGAGTGTGTGCGCGTGTACGTGTGTGTGAGCGTGTGTGTGTGTGAGAGTGTGCGTGTGCAAGAGAGTGCGTGCGTGTGTGAGAGTGCGTGCGCGTGTACGTGTGAGTGTGTGTGAGAGAGAGAGTGTGCGTGTGTGTGAGTGTGCGTGTGTGAGTGTGCGTGCCCGTGTGAGTGTGTGTGAGAGTGCGTGTGTGTGTGTGTGTGAGAGGTCCCCAGGACCGATTCAGATAATCGTCACTGGCGTTGGATGGGCCGCGAGCGTGGACTCGAACTCGGGTCTCTGCCGGGTTGGTAGCGCAGCGCGCTAACCGCTGCGCCACCGCTCCCCACCATCATCAATATCAGGCGAGAGGGGAGCAGGTAACGGTGGCCTTCAGAAGCCTGCGGACGAGTAACCCGTCGTGCTTTTCCCATAGACCACTGACGACGATGATGATAACGACGACGACATCAATCGTTCTCATTATTCAAGAGCCCATGACAAATTGAGAAGATCACGAGGGGACTCCTGGCTTAGGCTGACGTGAGCAGCGATGGTGACCAGATTACAGCAGAGTTTTTCATCGCAAGGCCACGGGCCGGCCCCATTGGTGGCCTTCAGTGCGGCCCCCTGACGTGCTGCCCCCCCCCCCCGACACAAAACACAAATGGTGACAACCCCCATCATCATCACCATCATCATCATCGTGCTGCTGTCAAACCCAACGATGGTTTAAAATGTGTGGCGGCCTTCACACTACATTGCTACCACCACAACCACCACCATCATCATCATTATCATCATCATCACCATCATCATTATCATCATCATCACCGTGCTGCTATCAAACCCAACGATGGTTTCAAAATGTGTGGCGGCCCTCACCACGGCTGATGATGTCTTATCGGCCAAAAAGTCCCCCCCCCCCCTTCTAGAAAAGTAGTGAACGACACAACAGTAGACATACATGAGGCCTGTTAGCGAGTACCTATTGAAGGCCAGCAAGGTGCAAAAGTGCGGTGGGGCAACTACGAGTTGACCACCTCTCCCACACTCGCCGACGCTTCGTAACTGATTTGTGTAATTATTATTTTTATTTTACCAGGTAAAGGCCCATTGAGCCTTGTAGCTCTTTTATCAGAAGCACCCTGACCACAAGCGATAGCCCAACGAAGCGGCTTACCACGTGGGAATTTATAGCAGCGGCCAAATACTGTAAACGCGTGATGTCGATTCTAAATGTGGAGGGGAAAACAGGAGGACCCGGAGAAAAATCCACGCGACCGTGGGGAGAGAGACACCGCAAACTCCAAATATAGAGCAGGCGTCAGGGTCGGGATCAAACCCCACGACTTCCTGTGCACCAGGCGAGGTAGTTAACATCTCCTAGCCACCGTGATGATGATGATGAGAGCGAAAAAGTGACACGCAAACTCCAAATATACAGCAGCAGGCGTCAGGGTCGGGATCAAACCCCACGACTTCCTGCGCACCAGGCGAGGTAGTTAACATCTCCTAGCCACCGTGATGATGATGGTGAGAGAGAGATACGCAAACTCCAAATACACAGCAGCAGGCGTCAGGGTCGGGATCAAACCCCACGACTCCCTGCGCACCAGGCGAGGTAGTTAACATTTCCTAGCGACCGTGATGATGATGATGATGAGAGAAAAAGTGACACGCAAACTCCAAATACACAGCAGCAGGCGTCAGGGTCGGTATCAAACCCCACGACTTCCTGCGCACCAGGCGAGGTAATTAACATCTCCTATAGCCACCGTGATGATGATGAGAGAGAGAAAAAGTGACACGCAAACTCCAAATATACAGCAGCAGGCGTCAGGGTCGGGATCAAACCCCACGACTCCCTGCGCACCAGGCGAGGTAGTTAACATCTCCTAGCCACCGTGATGATGACGATGATGATGAGAGAGAGATACGCAAACTCCAAATATACAGCAGCAGGCGTCAGGGTCGGGATCAAACCCCACGACTCCCTGCGCACCAGGCGAGGTAGTTAACATCTCCTAGCCACCGTGATGATGACGATGATGATGAGAGAGAAAAAGTGACACGCAAACTCCAAATATACAGCAGGCGTCAGGGTCGGGATCAAACCCCACGACTCCCTGCGTACAAGGCGAGGTAGTTAACATCTCCTAGCCACCGTGACGATGATGATGAGAGAGAAAAAGTGACACGCAAACTCCAAATATACAGCAGGCGTCAGGGTCGGGATCAAACCCCACGACTCCCTGCGTACAAGGCGAGGTAGTTAACATCTCCTAGCCACCGTGATGATGATGATGATGAGATAAAAAGTGACACGCAAACTCCAAATATACAGCAGGCGTCAGGGTGGGGATCAAACCCCACGACTTCCTGCACACCAGGCGAGGTAGTTAACATCTCCTAGCCACCGTGATGATGATGATGAGAGAGAGATACGCAAACTCCAAATACACAGCAGCAGGCGTCAGGGTCGGGATCAAACCCCACGACTTCCTGCGCACCAGGCGAGGTAGTTAACATCTCCTATAGCCACCGTGGCACCCAGACTACCTCCGGCACCGACCTGCGATCCTCCTTGAACCACGTGAAGCTTGCGGAGGGATCGGCCTGCGCCTCGCAGCGCAACATCACGGAGCGGCCCACGGGGACTCCGACGCTGCGAGCCTCGGTGATGGTGGGGGCGTCTGTGGGTTGGGGGGGGGGGCAGGGGGTGGGGGGCAGGGGGGGAGGGTTGGGGAGGACCCGGTGGGCAAGAGGGTCGTGGGCAGAGGAAGGATGGGTTTACGGCAGTGGTTCTCAATCATTTTGTTCGGCGACTGTGCATTTTGTTTCAACCGAGACACCCGTCACTCCTCTCGCCTGACGACCCAACGCGGTGCTGAGAAATATGAATGATCATCGTGAATATGTTCAACAATTGTCCATTTTGTTAATATCATGTATATTTATCGTTTATTTTTTAATTAAATTGTATTATTTTCATTTTATTACATATTTCATCATCATTATTTTGTAACGGTTAATTCCCACCACCACCAACAACAGCTGCCGCTGTTCGCCACTCAGCGGCGGTGACGTCGCCACGGCCGCCTGTGCCAGGCTGGGTGCACCCTGAGGTTGTTCACGTGGTTCGCCGAAGGCTCACAGCTGATCGGAGGGAGCTCACGTGACAGACCCACCAGGTGCCATGCAGTCGACTGAATGAGATGACCGGCAGATACATCACCGACAACAACCGCCATTCGCCACTAAGTGGCGGTGACGTCACCACGACGCTTGTGCCAGGCTATGTGCACCTTGAGGCCACGTGAAGTGTCGAACGCCCGCTGGCAGGAGGTCACGGGGCAGACCCAGCAGGTGCCACGGGTCGACTGACTGAGATGACTGGCTGATGCACCACCTGTGCCCCCTACTGTGCCAACTTGCTGTGCTTTAGCCACCCGGCACTCCGCTCGTTGTTGTGAGCGTCGCTCCTCCGCCCTCTGTTGTTGTTGGAGGGCGACTGCCTCCAACCGCCCAGCAGCGTCCTTCACGAGCCTCCTCCACAGAGGCCGATCTTGACACCGCTGGTGCCGGTCATCGGCAAGTCCACTCAGCAAAAAGATGCATCACCACCATCACCTGCAGCAGGAGTTTCAGCAGCAGCAGCAGCAGCGGCGGTGGCCAGGGGGTTGCGCGTCGCGACCGACTTGCAGTGACGAGTCTTACCGACTCGCAGTGACGAGCCTTACCGACTCGCCGCTGCACCGAGGCGAGCGAGACTCACACTTAACGGAGACGCGGACGCGGCGAACGTCGGGAGCGGAAACCTCGTTGGCTGCGCTGCACTCGTACTCGCCCGCCTGGTCCCTGCGGATGGACTCGATGTCCAGGAATTCACCCTCCTCAAACTCCAGCGCTGAAGTGGGGCCGGGGGGAGGGGGGGGGGCGGACACACACACGCGCATGGGTACGCAAGTACAGAGTTGTGTGTGTGTGTGTTTACCGATGTTCGATCGTGTGTGCTCAGGTGTGTGTGTGTGGGAGCGGTGGTGTAGCGGTTAGCGCGCTGCGTTACGAACCTGGCGACCCGGGTTCGATTCCCGATCACGGCCGACACCCGGTGACGATTATCTGAACCGGTCATGGGCCTCCCCTAGGTCTACTCAGCCTCAAATGAGTCACTGGTGCGATGTGTAAACATCGCCACTAGAGAGGCAAAAAGCGGCCGTGCGTGGTGCTGGCCACCCACCCCATCGTGTGCCACAGTGCCGGCCTTCATAGGTGCTCGCTAACAGCACTTTTGCATGGTTACACGTGTGCACAGGTGTGTACGTGCGGTATGTGTGTGTGTGCGTGCGTGTGTGTATACACTGGTGTGCGTGTGTTGTGCGGAGCGGTTAGCGCTCTACGCTACGAACCCGGCGACCCGAGTTCGATTCCCGCTCACGGCTCAGAGTCGAGCCGTGACAGGGCTACAATGCTGCCGCTGCTGCTGCTGCTGCAGCTGCTGTCTGTAATCCAGCACTGTCGAGGCAGCAGCTGCAGCAGCGAGGGTTTGTTGATCACCGCACCGATGTTGTTGTGAAACCCCCTTCTTGCTGTGGGCGTCGAGGGAGGAGGTGGTGCCGTGCCCTGCACGAATAGATATCTTTCCCATTTGTACGGGGATAGAGTGTTTCCCCCTCGCACGAGTGCGTGTTCTCCGGGTGTCCCGGTCTCCTCCCACACTAATCAACAACTCATTAGTCATCTTAATATGTCGAGGACGGCGTGGGTGGTTCCTGCGTGATGCTGAGAGGCAATGCGGATGAACGACGAAACCACTTTATGTGATTGATACTACGAATGATCATCACGCTAAGCATGATTATAGGAATGATAATTACCTGCGTAGTTATAATCTGAACCATTCCTGGTCCGTGACTGATGCAAATGAATGATCGATGATGACGACGACGATATAGTCTTCTAATTGGACCGCGAAACTCGCCGCACCAATGTGGAATTTCCACCACTTGGGTTCTCTGGTGCGTTATTTCAAGATAAATGAGTAGCGCCCCCCCCCCCCCCGTGACGGACGGACAGGGAAGACGGCGGGGTAGAACAGCCGAGCTTCAGCAGGGAGTGATGGATTACATACAGGGTGCATTTACATAATATCGCGATACGATCACAAGTGCATTAGAGTTGGCGAATTCAAATGCTCTCGTATATCAAATACTCCTTCTCTCCCCCCCCATCTCTCTCTCTCTGTCCCCCAGTCCATCCATCGCTCCAGATTATAAATAGATGCTGGGAAATTGTGGGGGGGTCGTGGGGGATGTAACTTTCCTCCTCTCCTCCTGCGGCCCGGCCTCTCCCAATTAACGTCCCAGTTGCTCTGATTTATCCCTTAAAAGTCAACACAATTCTGTCGATAATAACACCGCTGTCTGTTACGCGTGGCCTTAACAATATACAAACATATTCTTGGTTCTTTCGGTAAAGTCACGTAGAAGTGAAATAATAAAATAATAAAAATATAAAACGATCAAAATTCTCACGACGTTCCATGTGCTGTGAAATCCACACCTGATGATGATTGCTTGTGTTACAGGATTTTTAGTGTTTTATATTTTTATTCTTTTATTATTTCCCTCCTACGTGACTTTACCGAAAGAACCAAGAATATGAATCCCTGCAGTCACGAAAGCTTTAAATCGAAAAATATACAAACATCTAATAACTTCTTCTTCCTAGCGTTGTTCCCACTGTGGCGCAGGGTCCGCTTTTCGGCATTGTCTTCTCCATTGGCTCGGTCCAGGGCATCTTCAGGGGATGCGTTGACCGTCTTCATGTCTTCCTTTATTCGATCCATCCATCGCTTCTTCGGACGTCCGCGTGGACCGCCGATGTTTCGGACCAATGGGTTCTTATTTCACAACGCGTAGACAAGAGGCCAGAGATGTAAAGGTAGATAGAGAGAGAGAGGCTGGTTGCATAAACCATCAGCACGCGACACCCCGTGCGGTCATTATCCTCGAAGCAGCAGCAGCAGCAGCAGCTGATTTTGGACTCAGCCATCGAACAAAGGCGGTGGTCACCGCGTTGTCGCGCGGTGCTTTCAGATGCGCTGCTGCTGTGGCCGTCTGGAACGCTCTTCCCTTCCGATATCGGGAAGCCGCCGGGAGCTGTGCACTTGTAAATCACCATTATCATCTCGATTGACAACCTCATTTCTTTAGAACCGTTTGTTGTGTGCGTTAGTTTGTTGTCCTTCCACCGCACGGTCGGCTACGTACGGGTGCGAAATAAGTTCAACATACATACCTGCCTTCTCCATGTGCTGTGAAAAAGGGTCATTGCCCGTAACGTCGTCTATTACATAATTGACGTAAATCGTTGCTTGTTTTTTTTCTTCATATTTGCTCTGACTTATAGTTGCTTCAATGCTGCACTCAGTTTGTATATTCGTGCTGTAGTCATGTTTGGTGACTCGGGAAACTCACTCACTCACTCACTCGACTGGACATCCGTAAAAAAGGAGCTTCATTGCTCATCGGATTCTTCCAGGGAAAGGTAAAATAAAATAACAAATTCCGACTGAGACCGACTCATCCTGGCCACTAGAGGTCTCCCACGTGTCTCTGTCCCAAACGAACTTCAAACCCACGGCAGCTGTACCGCCCTTCACGCCCGCGTGGCCACGGGACGGAGAGGCATTTGCGATCGGAATCCTCGCAGCGAGAAGTCTCGGAGAACGGCCCGTGGATGTTGATATCACAGAACTGCTGCCGAGGTTACATGCCCACGCCTGGGTGAGGGAGGGGGGGTGCTGGAGGTGTTCCTTCGCACGGCGACTGAAGCCACGTTGTTGTTGTTGATGTTGTTGTTGTTTTTAGAGCAGGTGCATCTGATCCAAACCATTGCCTCCCGGCAGTCTGTGTCGGGCTCGATGGGGAATTGCGACGCCTTTGTCTTTTCGTGCGAGAAACTGGTCTCGCTCGTCTCCTTGGTCGACTCCAGCCTTTCAACGAGTTCCCCGTTCCGGTGGGTGAACATCGCCACTCGGGGAGGAGACACAGGCGGCCGGGCGTGCCGTTCCGGCTTACACAGGTGATACTCGCTGACAGTACAACAGTCTGTGAAGGCTACACTGGGGGCGGGGGTGGTTGGGCAATCCGTGTCTTTGTCGGTGAGTGCAGAGAACGCGGCGCGTCCTCCACTCATCCATCTTCTCCCCATCCCATTCCCGTCTCAATCCCACCGCCTCTCAGCCACTGTCGTGCCAATGCGATGGGAAACGATCCCCCCATCTGTCCTCGATTAAACACGTTGTTCGGCTGCCGCTGCTGCCGATGCTGCTGCCGATGCGGTAGTCGTTGCGACAAAAGAAGGCGCGGACATCAAAGGCGATGACTCAACACACTCGTAGGTGTAACTGCTCACGAAGCCGGGCTTTTCACGCCTTGATGCGATGGCGTTAACCCCCCAACCCCCTTGCGCCGCCGCTGTTCGCCCTGCGGCGCCGTCCGGAGACGAGGCTACGCGGGAGGAGGAGGAGGCTGCAGCTTTGCTCTCGACCAAACAGTTTCGAGGGACAATGTTGTCGTACATTGTTGTCCACCCGCGTGTGTTTGCATCAGAGGTCGCAAACGGGTTTTTTGATTCCTTACCCGTACCCGGCCGTACCCGTACCCTACCCGTACCCAGCCGGGTACGGGTAGGGTACGGATATCGGGTACCTGATTGCGACCTCTGGGATGAAGCCATGTTGCAGGCGCGGGTGGGTTGATTCTAGGAACTTGAATTGTGAGAAGAGACAAGACGTTGGGAAATGAGTGACAAACAGTTACTCACCAGTGACTCACGGTCTACCCGTACCCGGCCGCACCAGGGTCGCAAACGGGTACCCGTACACGTACCCGGCCGGGTTCGGGTAGCTGGGTATCGGGTAGGGTACGGATATCGGGTACCCGGTTGCGACCTCTGGTTTGCATGCTGCTGTTTATTTTTTTTATCACAAGCGTCGTGATGCGCGGTTAATGCAGACTCGATGATGACTTGCAACAGCTGTGTTTGGACTTCTTAACACCCCCTGGTGGTATTGCCGGAGACGATGAAGCCCATTGTTATCACGACTCCCCCCCTCCAATATCACACTCGCCAAGAGCACTGCTGCCTTGAAGCGAAAACAATAGAGAAGCGACGACGTTTCGGGCGATGGCCCTTAATGCATAGCGCACACGTAACGAAAGGTAAGATGCGCAGAGAGAGAGCCCGTCTCTAACACATCGAATACTCAAAGTATTTTTTTTCTTCACACTACCGGTCCGGTCAGCCACGCGGCCTTCTGGGAATGAATCAATACATTTAAGGAGTATTAATTTCCAGCGAGCTCGTTACTGTGAAATCAACGGGGCTGAAGGTATGCACGCGCTCGTGATTACTGCCGAAATGTTGATATGTTTTTAGTGCGATGAATAAGGACCATTGACTGAAACGTCTAATATTCAAAATTGCATATCTGTATATTTGTTTAAACCGTTTCGGGCCACGTAGTGTTATTGACCAATGTGCTGGGCTGTCTCGCGAAGGGGCCTCACGGTGACGAGGAGATGTTAATTACCTCGCCTGGTATACAGGAGGGCGTGGGTTCGATCCCGACCCTGACGCCTGCTGCTGTATATTTTTAGTTTGAATGTCTCTCACCACGTCTAGAAACACAAGTTTAGAGTATTTGGCTGCGATGCATTTCCCGATGATGATGATGATGAGCCACTTCGTTGAACTATCATTTGTCAAAAAATAGCTATATAGCTCAATGGGGCCTTACCTGGTAAAAGTTTAGTAGAGTTTGAATGACCGCATTTCGCATGAGCCATAATCATAATCTTTATTATCCTAGACGAGAAGCAGGAATCTGGTGGAGCTTTGAAACTATTAAACACGAAATTAAACTATTCTATTTTAGCGGATAAGGCCCACTCAGCTGTGTAGCTCGTTTTCAGAAGCGACCTGGCCACAAATGATGGCCCAACGAAATGGCTCGTCGTCATCACGTGGACATTTCTAGCAGCCAAATACTCTAAACGCGTGATGTTGATTCTAAATAGTGGAGGGAAAACCCGGGGGACCTGGAGAAAAATCTCTAGAGAGAGGGAGACACGCAACCTCCAAATATATTGGCGTACAGGGTCGGGATCGAACCCACGACCTCCTGTATACCAAGCGAGAAAGTTAACATCTCACCACTGCGGGGAGCCCCTTAGGCAAATCAACACTAACGTATTATAAAAGATATAGGAGTAAGATAGAGAAAACATTTAGGAAGGCAATACATAAATAAATGCACGTATAAATAATGAATGTAAATAAACCGTGCAAGTAAACATTGCACTCGTACGTACATTGCCGCAGATGTTGTCAACAACAAATACAAGCGTGTGCAAGGGAGCAAAACAACACAAGATCACACAAAGACTACAACAACAACACACAGCCCTCTCAATCACATTGCACGATATCATCGGTTAAGGACCGTGGGTTTAAGATTTCAGTTGCAAATGTGGCCGGCACTGATCGTGTGTTAGGAGGATATTATTCGAAGGGAAGATTTACGAGGTGAAGGGAGGAAACGAGTTGTTCCAAAGCGTTAGCATACGAAGTGGCCGTGACGTCACCACGGCGCTTGTGCCAGCCTAGGTGCGCCTTGAGGCCACGTGAACGGCGCGAGCGGGTCACGGGGCAGACGCAGGTGCCACGTGTTGACTGACTGAGATCACTGGCAGTTCACGGACTTACACAGAGGCAAAGACAAAGATCCCCCATATAGCTTTAACGGACTTTTGGGGCAAGTGCTATTAGCGAGTGCCTATGAAGGCCGGCAAGGCACACGAGGGGGATGGGTGGCCAACACCACGCCCGGCCGCCTTGTCTCCCTCGTGGCGATGTTACACACACACACACGCGTAACCACACAAAACAGCTAACAACACATAAATCCCCCGTATAGCCTTAGCCGACTGCTGGGGCAAGTGCTCTCAGCACACATAGGTAGGACAAAAACAAGACAGAGATCCCTCGTATAGCCTCAACAGGCGTTTGGGGCAAGTACTGTTCGCAGCAGCAGCAGGCGCAGCAGCAGTAGCAGTAGTAGCAGCAGGAACAGCAGCTGCAGCAGCAGCAGCTCCAGCAGCAATAGCAGCAGCAATAACAGCAGCAGCAGTAGTAGTAACAGCAGCAGCACCAGCAGCAGCAGTAACAGCAGCAGCACCAGCAGCAGTAGTAGTAGTAACAGCAGCAGCAGCTGCAGCAGCAGAACCAGCAGCAGCAGCAGCCGCAGCAGCAGCCTCAGCAGCAGCAGCAGCCGCAGCAGCAGCCGCAGCAGTAGCAGCTGCTGCGGCAGCAGTAGTAGTAGTAACAGCAGTAGCAGTATCAGCAGCTGCAGCAGCAGCAGTAGCAGCAGCCGCAGCAGCAGCAGCAGTAGCAGCAGCAGCAGCAGCTGCAGCTGGTCAGCAGCTTTGGGCTGACCATCGCACAAAGACGGCGGTCACCACGCGGCGCGCTTTCACGCGCGCTTCTGCGGCCGTCTGGAACGCTCTGCTTTCTGATATTAGGAAGCCACTGGAGCTATGCGCCTTCAAATCGTCCAGATTGACGAACTCATTTCTTTAGAACTGATTTTTTTGTGTTTAGTTGGTTGTCATTCGCCCGCACCTCCCGTTAGCACGGTTGGCTACGTACGGTGCAGAAGAAGTTCGCCGTGCAAGGCACCACCTCCTCCTCGAGGTTCACGCGAAGAAGGGAGTTTCACAACCACATCTGCCCGGTGATCCACCAATCCTCGCTGCTACCTCCACAGTGCTGGATCGGAGCTAGCCACGTGCGGCAGCGTAGCCGCCCGGCTCGATGCGTGTAGGCTACCTGGGGGAGCTTTGTCTTTGTGTGCGAGTGCGTTTGTGGGGAGCGGTGTTTTGCGCTCGACGCTACGAATTTGGCGATCGGAGTTCGACAGTTAAGTGCTGTATTACACGTCTGACGGCTGTCTCCCAGTTAGGACAAATGGGCTTTGGGTCAGAAGGACGTGGCAGGTGGCTGAGTGGGTGGGTGATTGGTCGGCCGCGTGGGCGGGTGATTGGGTCGGTGGGTGGGCGAGTGAGTGGGCGAGTGGCAGGATGAGTGGGTGTGTGGGTGCGTGCGTGCGTGAATCAGTGATCGGGTGGGTGAGTGAGTGAGTCGGTGGCCGTGTTTGTGAGCGAATGACTGGATGGGTGGATGAGTGTGTGGGTGCGTTGGTGAGTGACTAGGTGGGTGGGTGGGTGAGTGAATGAGTGGGTGAGTCGGTCTGTGGGTTGAGTGGTAGGATGAGTGGGTGTGTGGGTGCGTGCGTGAATCAGTGATCGGGTGGGTGAGTGAGTGAGACGGTGGCCGGGTTTGTGAGCGAATAACTGGATGGGTGGATGAGTGTGTGGGTGCGTTGGTGAGTGACGAGGTGGGTGGGTGAGTGAATGAGTGGGTGAGTCGGTCTGTGGGTGAGTGGTAGGATGAGTGGGTGTGTGGGTGCGTGCGTGAATGAGTGACTGTGTGGGTGAGTAACCGGGAGAGTGAGTGAGTGTGTCGGTGACTGGGTTTGTGAGTGAATAACTGAATCACTGACTATGTGGGTGGTTAAGTGAATGAGTGGGTGGGACGGTCTGTGGGTGAGTGACTGGGTGGATGGGTGGGTGAGCGGATGGGTGTGGATGCCAGCAAGAAAAGTGGCCAAAATTCTACACTTAAGTGGATTTATTTATAGATAGAAACATCTCGAATGATCTCTGTGTCTCTCCGCCTTCTCATCACGCTGTGCCTGTCTGTCTCCCGCTCTCTTCAGATTCTGCAGCGCAGCTGATTTTTGTTTCCAGAATCAGTATTGGGGGTAATTTTTCGTAATCTCAAAAGCAAAAAAGAAAAATCCGCATCCCACATTTCTAAAGTCCCGGTGAACTCTCCCTCACTGCTCTCCATCCGCCCCCTCCCCACTCCACCACCCCCACTCCACCCCTCTCCACCCCCTCTCC